GAGCATGCTTAAGTTTGGTAATTGAGTATGCTCATGAGCATGCTCTCGAGAATGAGTATGCTCTCGAGCATGCTCAATAAAATAAAAAATTTAAAAATATTGATTTTTTTGTGAGCATATTCACAATGTGCTCACGAGTATGCTTAAGAGTGTACTCAAGTGAGCATGCTTATATTTAGGAATTGAGTATGCTCTCGAGCATGCTCAATAAAATAAAAAATTTCAAAAAATTTGTTTTTTTGTGAGCATATTCACAATGTGCTCACAAGCATGTTCAACTGAGTGTGCTCGGGTGAGCACGTTAAATGATGATTTTGAGCATGCTCATCAACGTGCTCACAAAAGTGAGCACGCTCTTTGTCTATTCGGGAGTGTGCTTATATGACTGAAAAGTGGCCATTTAAGATCTTTGCGGCATGCTTGAATATATTTTTCATAGGATTTTCACACATTTCTTCCCATACTGGTACCAAAACTACAAAATTACAAATTTTGTACATTATCAAAACAAAGCCCTTGCATGACACCGAAAAGCGTTTCTTAATACCTTTAGGTATTAAAAAGATGTGACAGTTTAAATAAGACGTGAAAAAAATCAAAATTTTCACTCATTTTCAATTTCAAACAGTCACAGAATTGTAAAAATAGCATCAAATGACCTGAAATTCGGCATAGAAGTCAATTTTGATGTCCTCTACAAGAAAAAATAACCCTGAAAGCGTAGTTCAAAACAGTTCAAAAATTTCCTTAATTGCCGCTTTTTTTCAATTTTGCCCCATAGTGGCAAGTTGAATTTTTAGCGAAGCGAACTTGGGGAACAAAGTTCGCTTCGACCCCTGCTTTTTTCAAAGCTGAATCATTGACGTCTGGTCAATGAGATCTCAGAAACCGGCCGATCGGAAATCTACTTTTATGGAATTTATATTATAGTTCTAGCATAGATCTATAGAAAAAAGTCCAAAAATTAAAAGTGGAATGACCTTTGTGCCTAGTAGTGGCAGTCAAAGTATGACATATTGGACCTAGCATATCTGTTCTTCTAGCTGCTAATGAGCTTCAATTTCTTTTTAAATACATCAACACTACTTTAAGCTTTCTAACAATTCCAAAATTATTGCATACACTTAAGATTTACAATAGTTCTAAGCAAAAATGTCAAGCATAGGTTTTCAGATTCGTTAAAATTTGATACATTTTTTAAACTTTTGATGATATTTACTAGAAATCACATCTTTATATGACTTATTTTATACCATTGGAAAGCTTTTCAAATGAACTATATGAAAATTGTAGATATGTTTTGATTTGAACTAGTTAAAGTAGCTTTATTGAGCATTTAATGGTTTCATAACATCATATATCACTTTTTGCATAAATTTTCAACAAAATTGTGTTTTTAATTAAAAACTTTTGTTGTGGATGTTAAGTACATTGCTTTTTAAATAAAACCTGAAAATTTCAGTTCCTTTCATTAAGACTCGTATGTGAAAATTCATTTTGAATTTTGAGATACCTCACTAGACCAACTTCAGGCTCATATTTTGAAGCTTTCCGGCAAGTGATTCTTTTTTCTTATTGCATTAATTGATAGAACATACTAGGGTCTACAAATTAATGAAATAAAATTTGGGAGCCGGACATGGACAGTGAATCACAATTGAGAATATAGCAAAAAATATGCAAATTTTTGACTTCAAAGTTAATTTTCACTACTCAAACTACATAAAATCTGTAGATTATGCATGTAATGTTTGTAGATATAAATGAGATCTACAAAATACTGCAATCTAAAAATATTTAAAAAGCCTGATATAGTCATGAGGTCCAAAAGATGACAAAAAACCTAGTTTTTTCGAACTTTTTTCAACTTTTAGGAACCAATATGCACAAAAAGTATATCATGTGGATATTCATAAGAAAGTTCTTCATAGTAGGTGAAGCACAATAGCAGTTTAAAAATTACGTGAAGTACAAAAATGCAAACCCTCTTTTCTCGTGGACCAGGCACTTCCGGGGGAAAAAATTATTTTTCCCATAAACTAGGGACCAATGTCTACAACATAAGCATATAAGCTGAATTTTTGACAAACTTTTCACTTTTTCGATCAACGTGGGGACCTACAACATAAGTATATAAGCTGAGATAATTAGGAAGCATACTCGTTGTCTTTTAGGATAGTTTATGCTATTATTATTATTATATAAACCAAAATCAGTTTTTCAGTTTTTCATAATTTTCATGAGCATGTTAATTTAACAACTGTGTACAGCAACCGTTTGTTTGAGATTCAAAGATTAAAGTTTGTTTCGTTTGTAAACAAAAATAATTCTAAGTAGTAAAAAAATTACAGAAGTCCTCGTGTTATTGATCGAGGGACTTAAGCGCATTTTTGTTTTAGCGATCAGTATTTGATTATCTAATTATTTTGCGTTCATATACAGATTATTAGAAGATTAGAAGATCATTAATTTTAGTGCAATTAGCAAATAATTATAATGAATGCTTATATAAAAAGGCTTTGTTATTTAACGGTCAAAAAATAATTTGAAATTTTCCCGCTAAAAGTTGCACCAAAAACATCAATTATAGTATAATTAATAATCTGTAGCAAAGAATTTCCATACAGAAAGAGTTTATCATTTAACGGTTTTTTGGAATTAAAATTTTTTAACGGTCAGTAAGTTTTTGAAAGCTTCCCGCCAAAAGATACACAAAAAATCATTAATTATAGTATATTTAACAATTTAATATCTTTCATTCTCATTTACAAATTGCTTGTCATTTAACGGTTTTCTAAAGTTCAAATTTTGTAACGGTCGTATGCATTTGAAAGTATCTTGCCAAAAGTTAAAGTAAAAGCATTAATTATAGTATAAATAACAGTCTGTTGCAAAAAATTTTCATATAAAAAAGCTTGGTAATTTAACGGTTTTTTGAGATTCAAAAATTTTCAACGGTAGAAATAAATTCGAATTTCTAAACGCTTTCATCACGTGTTTTTTCAAATGAAATATAAAAATCATTTATTAAAGTACAAAAACACTGTTTCAAGACTTTTAAATGGGATTCCCAAAAATAAAACAATGTATCTAAGCTAATAAAACAAACTAGAACTCTCTACGATGTCTAGTTGAAAAGTTTTTCTCCACCCGAACGAACGAACAAAGTGAATTATTAAGCTGCCTTTTCGAAATAAGTTTCAAAAATGCGCTAAAAAAATATTTCTGAAAAATGAGTGAATTGAACTGTATTTTCTGTAAAAACAGTAGCGATAAAAATAATTTAATTGAGGTAGACCAAAATGCAGTGGATTTTGATGCCAAAATTGTTGAATTTAGCACTATGATAGAAGAATTATTCTCAAAAAAGGTTTTTTTAAAAAATATTAAGGTCTTAAAATTATTTTTAAATCAATGATTAAACTTGTAGGTCAGAAATCTTGAAGCTGCTTTGATTTGTGAGAGGTGCAAAGATCTACTGGTTCAGTTCTATATTTTTTCAGAAAATGTTAGAAATAATAATGAACATTTTAAAGAAAATAAAGTTCTGACTAGATGTAAGGACTTTTTAAATGATTGCGAAGAAGTACAGTGCATTAAGCACAATGAATATTTGATGCTCTTACCAAAATCCAAATTTAAATCTTCGTGGAGATCTTTAGAGACATTGAAAGTTGAAAATTTTGAGCATTATAATGATACAGAATTTGAATACCAAATAGAGGAAGTTGAGTCTTTTGAACCTAAATTGGAAGTGCTTGAAGAAAACAATGTAATTGAAGAGATCGATGATGAAATCAGAGTCACTGATACTTCAAACGATTTCGAACATTTAAATTTGATTGAAGAAGAGCAACAGAATCAAGAATCTAGTAATTATGATGTTAATGAACATGAGCTCGTCTACTCCTGCAATAAATGTGATTTCGCTTCCGAATCTAACGAAGATTATGATCATCACATGCTGTTACACAAAAGTTCAACAAAACGTTACTGTAAATTATTCTGTACGCGATGTTCTTTCCAATTTTCGAATCAGGCACATTTCACGGCACATAATAATGGACATCAACTTTTTGATACTTTAGCAAAATATATGAATTATCCAAAATGTCAAGCCTGCAATGTTATGTTTGTTGATGATGAATCTTACGAAATTCATGTCCAAGATCATACTTTGTTTCCAATTGAAAGTTCTGGTTTCTTTCTAAAATATGGAGTCAAAATTGTTAACCAGAAATGTGCAGAAGACGAAAGAACATTAATTTTTGATGAAAATTCACTTCAATGTGGACATTGCTTGAAAGCATTTAGTAACGATAACGAACTTATCACGCACTTACTTATATTTCATGCCAAAATATTAACGTGTCCAGTGGATTTCAGAAATTTTAATAACAATCAAGCATTTACAATTCATATGCGCAACAATCATGCTGAGCTTTTTCCAAATTCATCATTTACTTGTTCGGTATGTAAAGCAGAATTTGTGACGCTTTATGAAAAATTATCTCACATGAAAAACTGCAAGGAAAAGTCATTCAACTGCCTACATTGTCAAAAAACATTTTCCAAAAAATGTCACCTAGTTAAACATTTGAAAATTGTCTCAGGAAAATTGAATATGACGTGTGAAATATGTAACAAAATATGTCGAGATAAGCATGACTATAAAATTCATTCTAGATCACATTCAAGCGAAAAGTTTTTTAAATGTTCATTATGCTCAAAATCATACAAAACTTCTTCTGCACGTGCTGCTCATTTACAGACTCATTTAGAGATATTTATTTGTCCTCACTGTAATATACAGTTCAAAAGCAGACGAACTATGCAAAAACATATAAAAAATAAGCACGATAAGGAAAAAGTCATCAATAGCTTTCAAGAAACTGAGATTTATTAATTTTCAACTTGTTTTCAAATAAACATCCACTGGTTTCAATAAAAACAAAACCTTACAATAGAATTAAAAAGTATTTTTGTACTTCATTTTGAATTTATTTTACATCTGAAATTTCGAAAATATCATTAAAGTCATCCTTCAAATGTTTTGTCAAATGATATCTAATTCCAGGTTGATTATTATAAATTTTTGAGCATTCAGTACATTTCCATTTTGTCATTTTTAATCCATTTTCACACTCCACTTGTATTATTCCTTCCTTAATTTTATGTGCAACCCACACTTGCTTCTTTGTTAATTTCTTAAGTAAATGCCGATTTATATAATGATAACACATTGCTGTACTTGACTTGAGATCTTTAAAACAAAATTTACAAGAGTAAAAGTTTTCATTCCGTTCAGTACTTTCCATGGTTTCATTAATCCATCCCTCTTGTTCTTTTGTTAAATTTAGTCTGGAAGTATTGAGTACGGTTCTTGATTTTCTGAAGACGGTGTCGTTTTGATCGCAAAGGAAGAATTCAAACTTCTTCGGTTGTTCCTCACAACTTTCGGTGACTGGTTCATCTTCTACAAATTATTATGAAATATTAATCGACATTAAGTTTATAGCATAATTTCAGAAGCTTTTTAGATTGAAGAAACAATCAATTCAAAAACTTCCTAATGTTAATTGCTTACTTACGATCGAATCCATAGAGACACTCTTTTGTTTTTTGGTACCTTTAAAGTTTCGAGCTTTACCCGATTTCTTCTTTCGCTTTTGAATAGATTTATTAACATTGTAATTGCTACCATTTGACTCCGTCTCTGATGAATTACATGAGACAGTTTTCTTATTTATAATTGAATGTGTTTTATTCATTGAGTTGGAATTATTTGGTAATATTTCTTTTATAATCGGTGGCATAATGCATATTTCAGGAGAAAACTTTTGCACAGTTTCAACAAATCTCTTTCGGCGTTCAGGGAAAATACTAAGGATATCTAAATGTTCACTGGTTGACATTGTTTCTTTAGTCTTACTAAAAAACTTTGATATCTGTACAATTACATTTGATGATGGCATTTGAATGTTCTTTCTAATTTTCTGCTTAAATATAAATTGCTTGCTGATTGTATCCATGCATTCTGGACAAATATTCGAAACATCCAGCTGTAAAATAAGTTTGCAAAATATTAATCGATATAGTTATATTTAATTATGAATTAATGCATACCTCACAGAAAAATAAATCGAGCAACACATCTGAAAGCTTAATAATGCCTGGATTCTTATCAATCACGATTTCTTTTACATTGAATCCTTCATTTGCTTTTAGCTTATTTAAGCAAAAGTCGCACTTTTTAGCCATTTCTTTCTACAGTTATCAACTACTCGTCCTTAATCAGCTAGAATCTGTTTATTAATGCTCGCAAATCAACGTATTTCACTGATATTTTTTTTAAATAATTTTAATCAATTTAAAGACCTGTTTGTTTTACTTTTATAGTTGTAAGCATTATTACCGTCGGATTAGACGATGGTTTATTTTTTTATGGACCTACGGCAAAGGGAAGGTAACAACAAATCATAAACAATCAAAATGTATCACATCAATGGAAATCACGAGAAATCTTAATGTGAAAAATGACACAACTTTATATACTTTTATTAAGAAAAATACTTTATAAAAAAAACTTTTTAAAAAACCACGTTTTTACTCGTAGACTAAAAAGTAGAAATTACTACGTTTTTCTTAACTTGCTTTCTTGTTTGTTTGTTTGTTTGTTTGTTTGTTTGCAAAAAATTTCAAATCTTGCGATCAATTTTTCGACCACTTCTACTGCTCCAATCGAGCTCATTTTTTTTACTCACACGTATTCCCGGTGACAATACAATATTTTAACACTTTGGAAACACAAAAATGCTTAATTATAGTACAATTTATGTAAAACTTTTTTATATGGGAAAAAATCCAATGTCAATGATATAAAATTTTGATTTGTATTAAATATTATACTTGTGATGCTCTAAAGTCATTTATATGATTCATTATAGTTTAATTAATATTATTAATTATTAATTATACCATAAATTTGAGCAGCTAAAGATATTCTGGTAAGACAAAAAAATTGACATGTAATTTTTTCATGAATATTCGTAAGTGAAAATTTGAATTTTCAAAAAAACCGTTAAGCACAAGTCCGTTACGAATTAATGCAAAATAACTATTAATATGCGATGTGCATTTAGCACACATAGTTTGAGCATAAATTTATGCTGTTTTAAATGTATTGCATTATTTATAACACTTCACCAACTTAATTAAATTGACTTTTCTTTTTATTAACGGTTTGACGTATTTTTGCATAACATATAAATGATATTCATTGAATTTAAATTTGAAAATCCGTTATAAATACGTTACATATGTGATTTGCATCTTTATGTTAAGAATCCACACGTTATGAAGTAGAAATGGTACAGATAAACACAAAATCTTTACGAGTGATTTTTAATGTACTTTACTAATGAATGCTTTAAAAAAATTAAATTTTATAAAACGAATGAAAAATTTTGAAAGTCGTTACTAATTTCCCATTGAAAACTGGTAATTTATAAACAGTTGAACGCAACGAAGTGAAGTTCAACACACCTGTAACCTATAAACCTACTGTAATCTATAAACAGTTGAACGTAACGAAGTGCAACGAAGTGAAGTTCAACACACCTGTAACCTATAAACCTACTGTAATCTATAAACAGTTGAACGTAACGAAGTGCAGCGAAGTGAAGTTCAACACACCTGTAACCTATAAACCTAATGTAATCTATAAACAGTTGAACGTAACGAAGTGCAACGAAGTGAAGTTCAACACACCTGTAACCTATAAACCTACTGTGATCTATAAACAGTTGAACGTAACGAAGTGCAAAGAAGTGAAGTTCAACACACCTGTAACCTATGAACCTACTGTAATCTATAAACAGTTGAACGTAACGAAGTGCAACGAAGTGAAGTTCAACACACCTGTAACCTATAAACCTACTGTAATCTATAAACAGTTGAACGTAACGAAGTGCAACGAAGTGAAGTTCAACACACCTGTAACCTATAAACCTACTGTGATCTATAAACAGTTGAACGTAACGAAGTGCAACGAAGTGAAGTTCAACACACCTGTAACCTATAAACCTACTGTAATCTATAAACAGTTGAACGTAACGAAGTGCAACGAAGTGAAGTTCAACACACCTGTAACCTATAAACCTACTGTAATCTATAAACAGTTGAACGTAACGAAGTGCAACGAAGTGAAGTTCAACACACCTGTAACCTATAAACCTACTGTGATCTATAAACAGTTGAACGTAACGAAGCGCAACGAAGTGGAGTTCAACACACCTGTAACCTATGAACCTACTGTAATCTATAAACAGTTGAACGTAACGAAGTGCAACGAAGTGAAGTTCAACACACCTGTAACCTATAAACCTACTGTAATCTATAAACAGTTGAACGTAACGAAGTGCAACGAAGTGGAGTTCAACACACCTGTAACCTATAAACCTCCTGTGATCTATAAACAGTTGAACGTAACGAAGTGCAACGAAGTGAAGTTCAACACACCTGTAACCTATAAACCTACTGTAATCTATAAACAGTTGAACGTAACGAAGCGCAACGAAGTGGAGTTCAACACACCTGTAACCTATGAACCTACTGTAATCTATAAACAGTTGAACGTAACGAAGTGCAACGAAGTGAAGTTCAACACACCTGTAACCTATAAACCTACTGTAATCTATAAACAGTTGAACGTAACGAAGTGCAGCGAAGTGAAGTTCAACACACCTGTAACCTATAAACCTAATGTAATCTATAAACAGTTGAACGTAACGAAGTGCAACGAAGTGAAGTTCAACACACCTGTAACCTATAAACCTACTGTGATCTATAAACAGTTGAACGTAACGAAGTGCAACGAAGTGAAGTTCAACACACCTGTAACCTATAAACCTACTCTAATCTATAAACAGTTGAACGTAACGAAGCGCAACGAAGTGGAGTTCAACACACCTGTAACCTATGAACCTACTGTAATCTATAAACAGTTGAACGTAACGAAGTGCAACGAAGTGAAGTTCAACACACCTGTAACCTATAAACCTACTGTAATCTATAAACAGTTGAACGTAACGAAGTGCAACGAAGTGAAGTTCAACACACCTGTAACCTATAAACCTACTCTAATCTATAAACAGTTGAACGTAACGAAGCGCAACGAAGTGGAGTTCAACACACCTGTAACCTATGAACCTACTGTAATCTATAAACAGTTGAACGTAACGAAGTGCAACGAAGTGAAGTTCAACACACCTGTAACCTATAAACCTACTGTAATCTATAAACAGTTGAACGTAACGAAGTGCAACGAAGTGAAGTTCAACACACCTGTAACCTATAAACCTACTCTAATCTATAAACAGTTGAACGTAACGAAGTGCAACGAAGTGGAGTTCAACACACCTGTAACCTATAAATAGGTCGTTGCACTTCGTTACGTTCAACTGTTTATAGATTACAGTAGGTTCATAGGTTACAGGTGTGTTGAACTCCACTTCGTTGCGCTTCGTTACGTTCAACTGTTTATAGATTACAGTAGGTTTATAGGTTACAGGTGTGTTGAACTTCACTTCGTTGCACTTCGTTACGTTCAACTGTTTATAGATCACAGGAGGTTTATAGGTTACAGGTGTGTTGAACTCCACTTCGTTGCACTTCGTTACGTTCAACTGTTTATAGATTACAGTAGGTTTATAGGTTACAGGTGTGTTGAACTTCACTTCGTTGCACTTCGTTACGTTCAACTGTTTATAGATTACAGTAGGTTCATAGGTTACAGGTGTGTTGAACTCCACTTCGTTGCGCTTCGTTACGTTCAACTGTTTATAGATTAGAGTAGGTTTATAGGTTACAGGTGTGTTGAACTTCACTTCGTTGCACTTCGTTACGTTCAACTGTTTATAGATCACAGTAGGTTTATAGGTTACAGGTGTGTTGAACTTCACTTCGTTGCACTTCGTTACGTTCAACTGTTTATAGATTACAGTAGGTTTATAGGTTACAGGTGTGTTGAACTTCACTTCGTTGCACTTCGTTACGTTCAACTGTTTATAGATTACAGTAGGTTCATAGGTTACAGGTGTGTTGAACTTCACTTCGTTGCGCTTCGTTACGTTCAACTGTTTATAGATTACAGTAGGTTTATAGGTTACAGGTGTGTTGAACTTCACTTCGTTGCACTTCGTTACGTTCAACTGTTTATAGATTAGAGTAGGTTTATAGGTTACAGGTGTGTTGAACTTCACTTCGTTGCGCTTCGTTACGTTCAACTGTTTATAGATTACAGTAGGTTTATAGGTTACAGGTGTGTTGAACTTCACTTCGTTGCACTTCGTTACGTTCAACTGTTTATAGATTACAGTAGGTTCATAGGTTACAGGTGTGTTGAACTCCACTTCGTTGCGCTTCGTTACGTTCAACTGTTTATAGATTAGAGTAGGTTTATAGGTTACAGGTGTGTTGAACTTCACTTCGTTGCACTTCGTTACGTTCAACTGTTTATAGATCACAGTAGGTTTATAGGTTACAGGTGTGTTGAACTTCACTTCGTTGCACTTCGTTACGTTCAACTGTTTATAGATTACATTAGGTTTATAGGTTACAGGTGTGTTGAACTTCACTTCGCTGCACTTCGTTACGTTCAACTGTTTATAGATTACAGTAGGTTTATAGGTTACAGGTGTGTTGAACTTCACTTCGTTGCACTTCGTTACGTTCAACTGTTTATAGATTACAGTAGGTTCATAGGTTACAGGTGTGTTGAACTCCACTTCGTTGCGCTTCGTTACGTTCAACTGTTTATAGATTAGAGTAGGTTTATAGGTTACAGGTGTGTTGAACTTCACTTCGTTGCACTTCGTTACGTTCAACTGTTTATAGATCACAGGAGGTTTATAGGTTACAGGTGTGTTGAACTCCACTTCGTTGCACTTCGTTACGTTCAACTGTTTATAGATTACAGTAGGTTTATAGGTTACAGGTGTGTTGAACTTCACTTCGTTGCACTTCGTTACGTTCAACTGTTTATAGATTACAGTAGGTTCATAGGTTACAGGTGTGTTGAACTCCACTTCGTTGCGCTTCGTTACGTTCAACTGTTTATAGATTAGAGTAGGTTTATAGGTTACAGGTGTGTTGAACTTCACTTCGTTGCACTTCGTTACGTTCAACTGTTTATAGATCACAGTAGGTTTATAGGTTACAGGTGTGTTGAACTTCACTTCGTTGCACTTCGTTACGTTCAACTGTTTATAGATTACAGTAGGTTTATAGGTTACAGGTGT